TATAATATGTGTGTTTGATTAATCATTTTGATGCATTGTATAAATTTAGTATATCAATTTAGTATCTTTAAATACATTGCTTGAATTAAGACAGTTTAATAGAAAGTTACTAGTTAATACGCATATCAAATGCACAAGTAAGTAAACTAGGCCATTGACATTCTGAGGATAGTATGACACTTGCTAAAAGATTATTCAACCATAACATGTGTGTTTTCGGGAAGCATTACGTGAAGATGATCTTTGTTACACTTCTTTTTTTGTATGTATTCTTTTTTATTTAATTTTTTATTACTTTTTTTATTCTTTTTTTATTTTTGTTTTATTTTTATTATTCCGCCTTCGCGAATTTCTCTTCGTAGGCGTCAGACAGTGATAATTTCAAACTTACGTAACTCTCGGTCGTAAAAAATTAAAAACAAAAAAATACAAAAATAAAAAACTCATTTTGAAGACAAAAGAGCAAAGTAAAATCACTTTAAGTTAATGTAGACAAAATTGATACAAAGTAAAATTTCCTTAATACTGTAAATATGGCTAAAATCGTAATTTCTTGCCTATGTTATTTTTTAATTTTTCTAAGAAATGTGACGTAGTAGATAAATTCTAAACAAAACATCGTTTTCAGTATCAAAAAATAAAATTTGAAAATGATATTTTACAAGCCATAGACAAAATCAGTGTCGGATAATATTATTTTTTTGCGCAGAGCGGAAAATCTTACACAATGTATACGAATTTGGAGGATTGTATTATCAGGTACTGGATTACTGTATTATGTGATGTAGAGCGATGGAAATGCAAGCTGACGGCAGAGAGCCTATATTATATTTATAATACGAGTATATATGTTTTCGAAGCAATTATTTTAACTTGTATTCACTGACGTGAGTCCATCAATTACGACTTCAAATTCTTCAACAGTCAAACTAAAATAATCGATATATAAATTGTAAATACATTTCGTCTCCGTGATGAGATTCCAAAGACTGTAATAAAAGGCCGCTTGCGAAATAGCAATTTTGTCCATTTTTCATCCCGTGTTATCCATGTTCCTCGCGTCGGTCTCTTTATAAGGCCAGCTTATCTTGTATAATCATCAACGAGCAGAAGTTTGCTCGCGCATCGTCAATTGGCAAATAGTTCTGTTTGCAGTCGTTTGTTTGTTGTGTCGACTCTCGTGTTTGCCAACATTCTTTTTTCTGTTCTATATGCATATGCGTGTGCGTGAGCACATATTTCAAGCCGAGAGCTGTCTTTTTTCTCTTTTCGTTTCATTATCTTTTGTTGAGATGATCTTTAACCCTTCTAGCTGATAATTCTCCGATTTTCATGAATCAGAGCACTTGTTTCTTCGAGTATATCAATATCTGCTTCTGGATAAAGCGACGCCGATCAGCATTCAAGCTCGGCGCCACGATTTTAGAAAGAGATCAGTATAATATGATGCTCGGTGTATTGTGGAAGTATCGAAAATGACGTCGTGTTTTAATTATTTCTTCGCTGCTCTCTGCCTCTTTTATATAGCTGCTTTTTCTACCGCGGTATGTGGTGGGATTATTTACTTACAAGTGACTTTTTGTGATTTATGTAGCCATTCCAATTTTATCTTAAACAAGAGACACTATGTTTAAAATTATAATCTGAATGCTAGATTAACTGAGATTGAAGTAAAAAGACTATGGTAAACTTGATTCGTCACCAAAAGTATTAATATTTTATTATTATTTATAATAATATGTATAGAAATACAAATTTGTAATGCAAAATTTTAGTTTTATTCTTTTTTTCTAAAATTGATAAAGAAAATTTACTTTACTTTTAAATTAAAAGTTAATGATAAAAATGATGTATATTTTATCAATGCAACAATAATATGATACTTAGTATGTGATAAATAATCTGATGTTTTGAAATCAGAATCTGAATGAATTGGATTATAAAATATTTTACTTGCGCCCATCAATTGCCTGTTATAAGAATATATGTCTGTAATGTAAATTTATTATTAGATATGTCAATTACTAGATATGTCAATCACTATAAAAATTGTATAATTAGATGAAGACTGAAAATATGTGTTATTTTCTTAAAATTTCTATTATTTATTCTTAAAATAAATTCTTTATTAATTACATTACTAAAATTTTTTTAAATTATGTGTAAGCTTTTTTTCTATAAAGTATACACAACAAAATTAAAAATTAATTAAATAAATAAAAAGTAATTATTATTATAGTCTCGTATATATTGATATAAACAAAAATAATACGATGACAAAGTGCAATATTTATAAATGTAGCTAATTTGTAGCAATTGTCAAAATCTTAATTTTTTAAATAAAATTTAGGTACCTATACACTTTTCGATAAAACTGAGGAACTAAGCAATTATTAAAGAATTATTAAATATATCTTATTTACTTACTTGATATGTAATTTATTGCCTTCACTGTAATCAAATTTATTAATTAATTTTAAAGTATATAAGTATATTTTATTCATGATAATCAAAGAAATTTGTTGATCTATTTGGGAATTTTAATAATAAAAATCAAGATTATTTTTTATACTATTTTGACAATTTTTATTATCGCAGATTTATAATCCAAGATTAACAACTACAAAACCGCCAGAACGTCGTGAATTAGTATTTCCTTGGCATTCAACTGAGAAAGTATGGCGTGTTCAAACATCTCCTTCTCCAATATGGCATCAATTGGATAATATTACATTCAAATCTGGCACAAAGAATTGGAGTTCTTGGCGGAAGACTCCGGGTAGTGAAATTGAACAAAGAACGCAAATTGATATTCCCGAACAAATTTCTGAAAAAGTTCCAGAACAACAGCATAATTTCAAATTTGATAAATTGGAACAGCAAGAAAGTCTGAAATTTCCTTTTCAGTATGAAGATTTTACAGAATCTGATAAAAATTATGGATACTTTAAGAATGAATCAAAATATGGAAATCGCACTCGGCCTCAAAACGAGATTGATTTTGAACATAAATCATTGAAAAATGATGAGAACAAAAAAATGCAGGTAGAATTTGAGAATGAAGATTTATATGAAGGTGTAGATATTGATAGCACGGTAATTCTTTTTGTATATCTAAACAGAATTATTCATGCGTTACAATATCGTTTATATTAGAAGTGTGATTTAATTTTGAGGGTTTTTTTTTCTAACTAATTTATTTAAACAACATATCACGTTTTAATAACTGTTGCACAATAAATCTTTAATTCTTTGGTAAGTTCTGACATAGATTGTGCTGAATTTTCGTCCAATAATGCTTGCAAAACTGCATTTTTCAACTTTTATCATTAACATTGAAATCACTACTTTTGAATCAATATAACCAATATTCACATGTTTTAATTGATGCAGCAATATTACCATAAATTTCTATCAAATTTCTATGACTTTCAGTCGCCATTTTCTTCTGATTAAAAAACAAAAGCAATGCTCGAAAATGATGTTTAGAAAGCTCCATTTTTTAAATGGTTTTTAAACACGTTTACTGTATCTATTGTTAATAAATGATTAAATATCATGGAGTAATATTAAAGCATTAAGAAATAATAGCTGTGATTGGAATGTCTTCGACAACACTAACATTAATGCCATTTCTTGACAAAATCTTCAAAACTAAATCAATATTCAAGATATTGTGTAAGATATCTAATAATTTTGTTCTCAAAATATTTTTATTGAGATATAAAATCT